CCCCTGCGGTCGGCGGGGGCGGGCGAGGCGGGTCCGCAGAGCACGGCAGGCGTTCGCAGGGAGCCGCCGTCTCTGCAGCAGCGCGTTTTCCGTACGCAGCGCCTCCCGCCGGCCTGCGTTGACTTTGAAGGGTGGGGATAGGTCTCCGTACTAGTCTAAGATGAGGGGGAAAAAGTCTGGATCCTGAACTGCTAAAATGAAGCAGTCTGTGTTCTGGAATCCGGGTTAGATTTTTTGAAGAAAGAACCACAGAAATCAACAACTGCTATGTTTCTCGAGCAGTAAGAAGTGCTCTGAGTTTTTGCTGGCTGGAGCCTATTTGGCTTCCTCCTAGACGGTGTCATTTTGCCCAGTAAGCACATAATTTGTAGATGGTACAGGATATTCTTTTTAAAATAATCTCTTATTTTTCAAAAAATATTAATGCCTTGCTAATAGAAAGACCATTAAATAAATTTTAAACTGCTCCCTAAAATGCCTTTCTTCATTGCTTTATTCTAATTAGACACTTCTTTACATGAGAGGTTTTGACAAAGTATTATGGATACAAGTGGACATAAACCCTGTAATTCTTCTGTAGCTCAATTCCTCGGCCCAGACATAATTCAAAGCAACATATATAGTTTTTGTGACGTGTTAGTGTTACTAATTTCCCAGAAAAGATTTTCCCTAAAAAATTGTGTGATTTGTGATTCAGAGTTACCTTTTCAAATAATGTTGTGATGCAGAGAAAATTTGTATTGGATGAATTTTGAAGTTAGGTTTGAAATAATAATATGATCCTGTTTTTCTTTGACAGAGTATCAAGAAGAAAAACACAAGTAAACAAGAGATGAGCACATACCTGCGATTCATAGTCTCTCGTATGAAGGAGCGGGTGAGTCTGAAGCAGGGAAGTGTATGGAAGTGTTGGGTTGCACTGTAGAGGACGCATTGCGGTCGGCCATGTGTGACTGTGCAGGGAGGAGGGCTACAAGAGGGTGTCATTTCCTCTGTCATAAGCGGTGTGTGTGTTTCAACCTGCACTTCCCATGTCTCATTGCTCGGACTAGTATCATTCTGGCAGGAGTAGTTTATGCCATGGGCCTGTGGCTCCTCTGAAATGGTCATTTTTGAGGTTTGAGACACGTGTAATCCATCAGATTGTGGATCTACAGTTTGACCTTGTGTATTCCCCACCTGAAATATTCCAAACTATGGCTTTTTTTAAATCTTTTTGTTTGTTTGTTTTAAGCAGATTCTAAATGCAGTGACTTACACTGTCTCATGGTCCTTTCAGGCTATAGATCTAAACAAGAAAGGGAAGGACAACAAACACCCAATGTATAGAAGGCTGGTGCACTCAGCTGTTGATGTTCCTACCATACAGGAGGTAGAGTGACTTGCTTTCTAACTTCCACATTGTTTATGGTGTCTTTTAACAGTGAAGATAAACCTTAAAGATAATAAATATAAAGATAAAAAATAAATAATAAAATAAAAAAAAATCCTGTTTAATTCTCCTTATGATCAGTATTTCAGTATTGTATTCAGCACTGGATGTGGGAGCTTAAAATTTCAAACTTTTCCTCATAAACAGGTAACCATGTAAAACTGTTTTGAGTGGTACCGAGTTTTCAGACATAGAGTATCCTCAATTCCTTTTGTACTAAGGTTTTACTTGGAGCTGTAGGTGTCTGAAATCTTCAGAGAAAGTACCCTTTATCTAAGTCACTGAATATTGACTTGAGTGCCCATGTTTGCATATCTGGCCCAATGTTTTTGACCATATTCCCATTTTAGTCGTTAAGGCCTTGAGTAGGTGTAACTTTAAAAACATCTAAATGATTCATAAAGAACCAATTGTTCTGTTGATCATGAAAAAACAAAACTCACTTAAAGCATCTGTTTTGCATTAGCTGCTCCAAAAATAAAATACTAGTAAATATGTTGTCCTTTTTTTCTGAACCAAAGGTCTGACCATGACTTATGTAACTTATCAATTGCACATGACCAAAATGAACAACATATTCGTCTTTATTCATTGCTGCAACTGGATTACCATGCAATGCTGTAGTGTATATTGCCCTTTACAACCACAGATGTGAAAAGCCTTTGTTTTGTTGTTATTCTTGAAACAACAGGATAAACAATAGCTTAACTGGTAGTTTTGGAGACCAACACTACTGGCTGGGTTGAAGTACTGGCAACACTGGTTGAGCCTGAAAATAGATCAGGCCTTCCTTTCACTGTGTCACCTTCACCTGCTTCCACAGAAGGTCTTCTGGCCTTGATAACATCCTAGAAACCGATGATGTTTTGTTTGATGATTGGATTTCTCATAGGTGTTCTTGACAGAGCACAACTGAAAATACTGCATTCCTTATCAGACAAAAGACCATACTATGAAAATGAACTGCATGGCTCCATGTAGGCATTTATTATGAGTTTGGAAGACTAAGACAATCAGCCTTCATCAGAAAACAGTGACTGTCAAGTGAAGATCATGGAAGTGTAAAAGCAGTCAACATTGATTTGAAAGTAGCTGGTATTTTAAGGTACAAAATCTTCACCTCAAGGATTATATTTTAATTTGAACAAGTGCTCTGGGCCATACCTTATGATGAAGCTACTCCCGATTTACCTTATTGTATCCAAGAGAATTTTTTTTAAACTTAGTCGACTAAGTATTAAAGCACCTGTTCTACTTCTGGGCATTGCATAAAGTGACCACTGCAGCCAGTGTTCAGGTACTAAGAAACTATGTCAAAGAATTGTAAGTATTCCTTCTGTATGCAGAAAAGGCAGCGTTTGACCTGTGTTGCATAATGCAGATTTCTGTGAAAGCTTCTCTGCATAAAACAGATACAGCACTTTAACAGTTTTTTCACAGTTCCGTGTTTTCTTTTGTGTAGAAAGTAAATGAAGGAAAGTATAGGAGTTATGAGGAGTTCAAAGCAGATGCTCAGCTGCTTCTACACAACACAGTGATTTTCTATGGAGGTAAAGTACTACATTTACTGCTTGCTATATTTGATTTATCTTTATCTGTAGGGAACTCACAAGGTCAGGATAGAATTTATTATTAGATAATCTTACGTGTGGATGAGGTCATTTGAGAGCCCTTAAAAATCAAAGTAAACTGCAAGAGGACTTCGCAGGGTCTTTTCTGGCCCACCTACTACACAGCTATTTTCATCCTCTCTGGCTAAACCTGCTAGTGGAAATTTGCACCTTTGCCACCCTGTTTCTTCTGCAGCCTAAGTCATAAGTCAGTCTATACTGCAGATTTCTGCCAGTATACCTGTCTGATCTCTGATGTGCTGTGTCAGCAGAAACATGTATTATAGGCACATATTTTTCACTCGTGGGCAATATCTGCGGTATCACGACAGCAAATACAGCTGCATTGACACTAGAAGTGCCGTGCTGGTGCGGATTGTGAGGATACAGCCATCAGAGAAGCTGCTAGCCCCTGTGAAGGTAGTAAGTGACTGATATGGTGGGACAGTCTGTTTGGAAGTTAAAAAACCACCACCACCGCATCCAGAATCTATAGCCAGGTCCTGTAACAAAGCTCTCCAGAGCTACCACTTCAGGAAGGATGCGATTCTCCCCTGCAGACACAGCCCACATCAGGGATACTGGGAGGAGAGTGGGACCGGTCTATTTGCAGCATCAGAAGGTCCACGCTGTTGTTGGTAGGGAGAGAGTGAATGTGCTAATAGAGACACACGCAGATGTAAAGGGAAACAGATAGTGATAAATAGTCTGTGAAGCATTACTCTGAGCAGAAATACTTAGGTGATTGTACCTGTGTTCCAGTCAAGTGGTGATAGCAGAGCCGTGTTTCAGGACAATTGCAGTATGTCATTGACACACTAGCAGAGAAAGAAACTGGATCCTTATTAAGAGCAACCCTGTCTCCCCACTGCTGCTCCTCCTCAGATGTGTACTTGTATTGTTCAGTTTAAAAGCTCCCAACAGTGTTTTTGCATATAAATATGAAAGAGAAAACAAATATAGAACTGATTGTTAGAAAATTTAAAATGGAAGGGTTATCCAAATGACTAAATGGTGTTTTGTATTCTCAAGCAAGACAATTATAGCATGAAAATCATAGCAATGACAGCTGCAAATCTTTGTGAGCACTGTGATCATACTGTGATTGTTCATACCATTTATTTTTAATTTATAGCGGACAGTGAACAAGCTGATATAGCGAGGATGCTTTACAAAGACACATGTCATGAAGTAAGTAGTACCAAGTAACCAAGATGTAGACAAGATACTTGTTTTTCATTTCAAAATCTTAAGAAAATTATTCTTCATACTACAAAAACAAAAAGGGTATGAAGTTTGTTATACATTTTCCCCTTACTTTCTAATAGTTTATTCAGAATTCCTTTTCCTTTTCTTTTGCAACTAGACTATCATTTGGAAAATACCTATATTCAAATGTTAGTTTTTAAAATAATCTAGTAATACATAATTGGACTAGAAGTAATTGTACTTGCTAATATAAATTGAACCTGAGGTGAGATTCCTAACAAATTCTGTAACTGGCATTGAATCTTTTCTCAACATTCAGAGGAGACCAAAAAATAAATCTAGGGGATCTGTCACACTTTCTCCGTTTGTACAGTTGAATTACTTCTTTCAGAATGTACTTAAAATATTTGATTAATTTAAAGAACTATTCTTTGCATCTTAGCTATAATAAATCATTGAGTTGAATTAGTCTCCTCCTCTGCCTTGTTTTTCTAAATCATGAATAATGTTTCTGCAGCTTGTCTTTCATCCACTCTCAGCTCACCTCAGTTTCACACCTCTAGTTTGCACAGACAGAAGTAACCCCACGAAATTAGCAAGCAGGGCTGAAAAATTTAACTACTTAAGAGAGAGTGATACTACTGAAGTCACATAAATAGGGTTTTTTGGGCTTATTTACCTTTTTTTGTTTTTCAGCTGGATGAACTGCAGCTTTGCAAGAACTGTTTCTATTTGTCAAACGCACGACCTGACAATTGGTTCTGCTATCCTTGCGTATGTTGCTGACACAGATTTTTATTTGTTTGCTTTTCTGTATAAAAGCCTGCAGATTTGGTGTCATTAATGCATTGAATATTCCATTTCAGTAGGCTTGTTTCAAAAGCGTGGTTAAGACTCTGTAAGCCTAGATATTTTACACAAGTGAAATGTTGATTGAAGTTCAAAGCTGTAACAATATATAACAATATAGGTTATAAAACTTGGTTATCAGCCAGTTACAACAGTCTCACAAGAAAATAAGGAGCTTACAGAAATGAAACTTTGCTCCTGGATGAAGCTATAAAGACAAATTTAATTTTTGGGCTGCTTAAGATCTCTGTTTTCAATAGACAGTTACACCCTTTCAGACTTTGTATTTTTTTTACTTTGATCCAAGCAATGCATCTAGCAGGGAAATACATATTGTAAGAAGATAAAAATTAAAATAGCACTAGATATAAACAGCAACCATATTCTTAAGATACTAGCATAGTATTAGAGCAAAATATTAGTGGGATAAATCAATATAAAACTTCATATCCAATAATAAATACAACATTTTTTCCAGATACCTAATCATGAACTGGTTTGGGCCAAAATGAAAGGCTTTGGGTTTTGGCCAGCCAAAGTCATGCAGAAAGAGGACAATCAAGTTGATGTTCGCTTTTTTGGCCATCACCACCAAAGGTAATTTATTAATTCCATGTGCTGCGTTTTACAAACAATATTTAAAAGAATTTATCTCATCTCATCTATCATGTTGTAAATCCTGGGTCAGCTAGTTGCCAACATTAGAAAGACTGAGTACTTTGCCATAATTGTTTCAGAAAATTTAATGCTCAGTCTGACACATCTAAAGTTGCCAAATGGCGCAGAGATTCCCTTTCCACAGTTGACATAGGGTTGTTACTTAATGCCATTTTAATTAAAGAAAGCAAGTGAACTTCATCTGTTTCTTCAAATCATCAGCAGCCTGTCCTGGCCAAGGTGAAAATTGGACAGAAACGTACTCTTACCACCAGCAGTATTGAATTTGTGCAATTTTCTCTTCTGAGTAGGCACATTGCAATTCTGTGTTTTAGTAACATAATATACATCACAAATGTTTCTGTCTCACTGCTAGAACATTGACAGAGCTCTTGCTGTGAGCCAGTTCGCAATTTCAGAGAATAACTCTTTACATTGGAAACTTCACTCTTAGAGATCAGCTTTTACTTCCACTTCCAGTTGTTTGTTCAGCGTTTGGGGAGGGCTATAGTAGTGTTGTTACTACAGTGGATGTACTGATTTTTTTTTGCCGTTTGATTTATACGTCTATAATGTGAGGAGAGGAGACATTTGCGAAGTAATTCAGGGTTGTTGGGAAGGTGGTATATTTTGGTGCATCCCAAAAAGGCCTACACAATTCAGTAACAGTGTTTTATGAGGCTGTTTATTTAAATTGCTTTTAGTGTAACTTGCACAGTATATAACATGTTTTCATTTCTTATATGAACTACCAAGATTTTCTAATAGGCATAAAATGGGTAAAGGATCTTTATTTATGTTGCAATCACAGAATGATTTACCTTGAATCTGTTTGCAAATGCAGCTTACCTCATTAGTAATTTTGGCATTAAGTTCACATAGCTTCAAACTATTTAATAAAGTAACATGGCACTTACGGGATGAGGTGCTTGCAACTTCTTAAACGTGTACTGATAGAATAGGCAAAATACATTGTACTAGAGTGCCATTGCTTAGTTACTGTTCTGGACTTGGACAAAAGGCCAAATTCCTGGTTGGCGTAAATCAGCATTGTTTCCTTGACTTAACTGGAATTAAATTTATATTGCAAGAATTGAGAATCTGGCCACAGACATGTAGTTTGTTACAGTATTTACTCTTTTATGTCGATGTGCGTGGCAGTGACTCTTTTTCTTTAATGTCCAATGCTGCTTGGTCTAACCTTTCAAAATGTCAAGAGCTGCCCATCTAACTCTATGAGGACTCCCTGAAAATATTTAAGAGGCCAGAGTACCTTTGGAACCAAGTCACTGGCATGAATTCAATCCAAGAGCATGACAGTCCCCACATGAGTTCAGTCCTGATAGACAGGGACCCAAACTACAAAATGTCTCTATTCGAGGTGATAATTTGGTACATTCCTTGACAGTTTTAGCAAAGAGGTCAAGGACTAAATTGGATTAGCATACGAACTTTCAGTAAAGATGTTTCTGTGTCTGACTCAGGACATTTAATAAGAGAGCAGGTAGGAGATATGACTGCTGTTGATGCTGGGGGAGGTTTGCAGCTCACCAAAAATGAAGGACTTTGAGCCATAGCACTCACAGCTGACAAGTGCTTGTGATAACACAAATGTCTAACAGTATGCAATTCATTGGTTGTTTTTTTTAATGTGTTGAATATACAAAAATTCTGAGTAAAAAGCAATTGTCAGCGATTGGCCACTGTGAAAAACTGCTTTTGAAGTCAGTTTCTCAGGTCAACATCCTTCATCTGTATTTAATGTTTCTGAACCTGTCTGTAACTGTGTATTCCAAAGGGCCTGGATTCCCTCTGAAAACATTCAAGATATCACAGTTAACATCCATCGGCTGCACGTGAAGCGCAGTATGGGGTGGAAGAAGGCCTGTGATGAGCTGGAACTGCACCAGCGTTTTCTTCGTGAGGGGAGGTTCTGGAAATCAAAGAATGAGGATAAAGGGGAAGAGGAGGCAGAGTCAAGTATCTCTTCCACCAGCAATGAGCAGGTGAGTGCTGCCACAATGTTAGCAGTCAGGGCAATTTATTAAAGGGTACAAAGATAATGTATCTTTGATTACTCTACTATTACCTTAACCTTATGCTCTGTCTGCAGTTTTGTGGTGACAAGTAGAGGGTTCAAAGGCTTATTTTCCCTATGTTTTGTGGCTCAGTAATAGCAAGAATATAGAGTTTTCCTCTTTCCTCAGTTTCTTGGATGACCTCTGGGAAGTTTTAAAATGTTCGTCACCTGCAGCACTTTGATGAGGCAGACCAAGATTTCTAAAGTTAAAATAGGAATGCTCAAGTTAAATGTCATGGATATCAGATAGACTGCAACACTGCCTTCTTGGACTCCCATCAAGGGACAGCCCTGTAGCCGTTCAGCCGTTTCACAGCTGGAGTATGTTCACTGTGGACTGTATTCTGCGTTACAGATCCCTAAGTAACACCAACCGTGACATTTTCAGCCAGTCCAACTAAAGTTAGGTGCAAATGTTGGACCACATGACCAGCAACTGATTAAAGTCATTAAAAATAATTCTTCAAAACAAGAAAAATTACATTGCTTTAACAAAGGTGAAAAGCACAAAGCGCCAAGATAGAAAACTTTGCATTGCCATATGGAAGCTCCCGCTTATCACAGCTGAACCTTGCTAGTCATTCCTTGTCCAAGAGGGTGTTATATATTCACTATTACTGACTTGGCAGTAAGAATTTCATAGCCTGCAGGATTGTTCTCTGTATTCTTGGCAGCCTTTTCCCTGGCAACACCTGTTTTCCTCATTTAAAACCACTGTCCGCTCCCTAAGTCTGTATTTTAAAAAATCAGCATGTTCTGGCCCTCTTCCTTTACCCTTTTGTCAAACAAGTCTTATCATCCAAATTGTGGCTAAAAACTTAAAGCTTATAAAACTGGATGTTGGTTTAAGGGGGTGCTCCTTATCAAAGTGGCTTTAGATTTTTTTAGCCTGGTTTGCTTAGCTAACCCTTTGTAGCCCCTTTATTTAAATGTCATGTATGCAGTCATGCAACAATGTATGATGTAACAGGAAAATGGTCACGAATAATATTTATGAAAGATAACAGAGGCATTTTCCTAGTTTTTCAGAAGTGTCAGTCATAGGGTTTGTGTCCATTTGCATATTTTCTGTTCCACGCCAGCTGCTCATCCTTCACTTGGTTAATGCTTATACCTGTTTCACTGGTTTCCCAGATGCAAGAATATAAGAGTAGCCGTCAAACTCAGTGCTCTGCAGTAATCTGCAGTGTCCTGTCACTAACAGTACTTGGTACTGGCTGCTTCAAAGACAGGAATAAGAACTTTGCTGTAAGCCCTTGTAAGGTAATACACCATCCGCTTAGATCTCACCCTTGTTTCTGTTGCTGGAGATTGGCTTTTACGCTAAAGCACGAAGTTTCATAGCCCTTCAAGCATGCATCAATTATAGCAAGTCTGGATAATCTTACTATCTTTACATATATACCTTCTCTTTTTAATTATTGCTCTTTTCTGGCTTCCAACAAGATCTTCTACCTAATTATGGGTCACTGATATCAGAATATTCCAGAAAACAAGTGTTTGAACTTGTGTGTGAAATGAAGGAGAGAATGGTTAGGGGTATGTTAGCAAATACACATTGAATGTTAGAACTTGTTCATGAATTTTGTTCCCTCATGCAATGGTGGTTGTCAGTGATAATGTCAAAAGTTTATTGTGTGCACTTCTCATTTAAGAACTACTCAACTTTCTATTTGCTAAGTTAAATAATTGTAAATAATTGAAAATAAAAGGTACATCAGTCATGTTACAATGAATGCTACTTACATGAACTGTTTTTTGTAATGATTCAATATACTTTTCTTAATGTTCACAGCTGAAGGTTACTCAGGAACCAAGAGCAAAGAAAGGACGACGTAACCAGAGTATGGAACTCAAGAAAGAAGTAAGTAACCTCAACTACCATGTTTGTAGAGGTAGCAAAGTACAAAAAGTCTGAAATTTTAATAGACACTCTTATCTGTCACTTTTTACTGATTTTACAGTATGAATCTTGGAAGTTCCAGCCCCATAGCTTGGTCCTCCTTGCTAACAAACATAATTGCACCTCCCCCATGCAAGCCACTGGTAATTGTGGTAATATTCTGTATCATGAATAAATCAACAGTCAGCTTATGGCATTTTTTTTTACAAACTCAGGCTAGTTAGTAAGTCTATAAACAGCAGAAATTAGGAAGTATTTTGCACTATCAAGAATATTAAGTTTAGAAAGGGTCATATCCACTTTTATCTGTGGAACTTCCTTCCTTGTTTAATCAACTTGCACACTGAATGAAGTGGGGGAAACAGAAACCTATGATCATGTAACCGAGGGACTGTATTATTATGCTTGTACACAAGGGGGCAGTTGCTGAGACAGCCATAAATCTCATATTTCCTCATTTTTGAGTACTTTTTTTCTGGCCTTGTTTCAGCTGCATGTTGAACACTAAGGAAGAGTTGCACATATGCACAGTCCTCAGAAGAGGACTCAAGACTCCATTACAGAGGAGGATTTAGGTATTTTAGCACCAGAATTGTGTGGGATGGCCCTGGTGCCTGAAATACAGACATTTCCACTCCTAATATCTGGGCACCTGCCTCCCTGTTGTATCTCAGTACCGCAGGGCCACCTCTGTGAGGCACCTTCATCGATGGAGGCAGTGACGCACAGTTTGCGCTCCCTGCGGCACAAACTATATTTGAGTGCAAGATGGGGAGACTACAGTTTAGGATGACTCGTCATTTTTATTGTGTTTTCTGTCAAGCAAATGCTGCATTTTGCTTCATATATTTATGTCCTAACATTTGCCTTGTTAGTTCTGCTCATATTTGATCAGTGATCCGGAAGTCAATCACAGTGACCTATTAGAGAGTAATTGGTTACAAAAGGGGATACACAGTCAGCCTTTTGATTGGTGTGAGCAGTGCTCTATCACACAGACAAGCACAAAGTCCAGTCCCAAGCAAGTCTGCTCTTACCAGGACTGTGTGCTTTGTCTGCATACTGTTAAATGAGCTTTAAAAAAATCTAAGAAAAAAAAAAAAACAAACCAAAAATTGTTCATGTGTGTCTTCAGACACTTCAAATATCAATAAGAGTTTGCAGGAATATTACTTCTATCTGTTCTAAAGAGCAGGAACAATTGGTCTTACAGTGTAATAACATAGGCTGCTAAATTCAGTACAGTAACTATGATTTCTTTCTTGATAATTGTGTAATTACAAGAAAGCTTCTGTGGTCATCCAAGTCTAGTTCTATATTATTGGAAGCAAGACTTAGACGCTCATTAGCCTTTCATCTTCAAAGCACCTTTGAAGTACTAATCAATCTTTGCAGCAGTTCTGTGAAATCAGTGGAATATTACAGACTCCAGTGGAGCTTGTTGGGCCAGAGTAAGCCCAGAGTTTGCCAAAATAATTCAGGCACCTTGGCCATGCAACTACAGTCTCTTCAGGGAGGATGGTAGGGGGAAAAATCTATAGCAACCCTTCAGTAACCCCAAGGGATCTGCAGTGGTTCAACATAGCCTCTGATGTTGGTCGTACTTTTTGGGAAGTGAGGCTGGTGACTGTGGCATACTGATGCCATACGTGTGCCTCCTTCTGGAGGGCTCCTACTTGAAGTCAGAAAAGCCTGACCAAAGAGCCTACCCACTGTCATGCTGGTTTTCCTCAGGGATCTCACATCCCATTAGCACCCACGTCCCATTAGCACTGAAGGTCTTCAACAGACACCTTTGACATGAATTGCACTGGCATTAGTCATGTAACATTTTTTCTCCGGGGAGAACTTAAAGTTAACTTGTTCTGTTTTGATACGTGGCTTTACAAGTTTGTTCTTTCTAGGAGCCAGAACCTGAAACTGAAGCAGTAAGTTCAAGCCAGGAAATTCCCACAATGCCTCAGCCCATTGAAAAAGTTTCAGTCTCAACTCAGACCAAGAAGTTAAGTGCCTCTTCTCCAAAAATGCTGCATCGGAGCACCCAGACCAGTAATGATGGAGTGTGTCAGAACATGTGCCATGACAAATACACCAAAATCTTTAATGATTTCAAGGACAGGATGAAAGCTGATCACAAAAGAGAAACTGAGAGAGTTGTGCGAGAGGCAGTGGAAAAGGTAACACCTGTCGAACACCACCTACACTCTGGTTTGAGGAGAGGCGGCGTTATTTCACATTCTTTCCTATTTTTGTAATATCCACCCTTAAGAAAATGAATAGAAAACCTTTTCCAAAGAGACCACATAAAAATATTCTTCATTATTGCTTTTTAGACCATTTCTATACCAACAGACCTTAGTTTAAACAGAAAACTACTGGGTTTTTTATTCTTGTCCAGTGAAATCAGTTTGGGATCCAAAACCAAAACTAATTGTTCCTTCTTGAGTATTTGTTTCCAAAGCATTTGTCTCCATTGTCAACTGTGGTTGTAAACAACGGCATTGTTTAAATGCTATTCATAAATAATTCTTTTGTCAGTCTTCTGACCTAAACATTAAAGTTCACTGAAATTTGTTTGAATTTTCTTATCTAATGATAACTTGTTTAAAATTCAATATCTAAGCATGAGCTGGTTACCTTTGGCTGGAGAGAGCAGGACAGTTTAGAGGATGATTAGTCTGACCTCTCTTAAGTACCTGTCTTAAGACAAGATAAATTTCCTTCCTGATGAAGGACTATGGAATGAACCTAGGGCATATAAGTGTTAATCCTATAGGATTAAGACATCAAACTTTTAGATAACTGAGCAAGGGCAAAGGAATCCCACCAACAATCAATATTAAAAGGTACCTTTTACTGAACTCACGGATGTTCTATTTTGTATTTTCCATTGCACCCTTGCTGTAGATTTATGTGCAGCTGTAGATTTGGAAAAGACAAAATCTTTGTCTAAGATAAATTCATGAACTTGTAAACTGATCATTGACAAAATATACATGGAACCTATTTAGCTGGTTTTGTAGATGCCTTGCGGAATAGAAATACTTTGAATGTTTCTTATGGGATGGAAGTTTTGTTATAACTCTAAAGGAGAGAAATTTTTGTTTTTTAAACAGGAGGAATCTCTAATTATGTGACCTCCAGCCACATCAGTAATAGAGGTTTAAAGAATAGAGCTTTAAAGAATAGAGGTTTAAAGAATATACTTTTATTCCAATAGCTGTCCGTTGACTTGCTTTGCTGACTTTCTTATGGCAGCTGCGTACAGAGATGGAAGAAGAGAAAAGGCAGGCTGTAAATAAAGCTGTGGCCAACGCACAAGGAGAGATGGACAGAAAATGTAAGCAGGTAAAGGAGAAATGCAAAGAAGAATTTTTAGAAGAAATTAAGAAGCTAGCAGGCCAGCACAAGCAACTGATTTCCCAGACCAAGAAGAAGCAGTGGGTAAGTGTCAAAAATTTATTACAAGAGAGTAAGTGGAAATGTATAATGCATACTGAAGGCCAACTGAAGGTGATTTCTTCCTTACTTTTAACTGCACCGCTCTTTCACTGATCTTTCAGCTTTAAGGTTTTCTCCATATTAGTGCTTTCAGATCTTCTTAACCTCCAAATTACAACTAGAAGTTCTGATTACTTTCTATCCTAATTATGTGCTGTTAACAGCACCGTCTTCTTGAGTCCAATCAGACGTTAGTATCAAAATATTTTTTTCTAAATGCAATTTTTCTCCATATAAGACATGTTTTGCATTATGTTCACTCTCCTTTGATCTCAAGGCCCCAGAGGGTACAATATCTGGCTGCATCAACTTGGATTCCCGTGCTAATAAAGCTGGTAGTGATATCCTTTGGCCTTTTCCTCTCCTAGCTTTTTCTGCAGCTCTTTTACGTTCTTTTGTATCTAAGACATGTCTTTCTGAAATATATTTCTCTCCCTTGTTCAGTCCTTAAGCCCAGATCTGCAGCATTACCTACAAAAAACATGCTTGTATGCGCATCAGAAAAGTGAAAACAGACATCTAACTTACCATTCTATTACATGCTGCAAACTTTTCCCTAGTTTTGTTTGTTTTGTGTCTTGGGTTTTCTTCTCAAGCCAGAAATGTGTTCTCCCACGTGGCTGTACAGCATCTCCTCAAACATTGCAAGTACTATAGCACTGTGCTGCTAGCCTGTAACAGAGTACGGGTGGAAGCTGTTACGCTGAGGAGCAGTGAGCCTGGCACACAGACAGACTTTGCCATTTCTTTGCTAATTTTCATAGAGCAAGGAAATGAAAGCTATCGTTCAGGAAATCACACTGCACTGTAATAGCTGTCTATGAAATACAGTGGGGTGGGTACAAGATTTTCTACTTGCCTCCTTTTGAGCTTTGATTTTGCCGGATGCAGCGGAGAAGCGAGCGGGTGCCTTGCCACAAGATGGCACGCTGATCTGAGCAGCGATGGACAGCCGCCATCCCACGGCCACAGCCACCCGGGGACAGCCAGCCCTGGCTCCCTCCCGCAGCTCCTCTGCTGTGAAGGGCTGTTTGTTTATGCTCGGCCTCATTAGTCCTTGTTCTTACAGATGAAACGATGGTCCCCGCAGAGAAAACTCTGCTCTGCAGAAGAGTGAAATAAATACTAAGGCGAGACAATCGGTTGCTGACTATCACAGTTAAGAGTTTGGGTTTTTGTGAAGAGAAGAATTACTTCAAATGGCAGAGCTCCTGTAGAGTCTTCCTTTCTGTTCCTAGTAGAGATTTTGCTGTAGGTGTTACGATGCTGCAGTGCTTGGGTCTCTGTCAGGAAATTCCTTGCTGTCTACTTATCTCTGCAGACCAGAGAAGTTGTTCAGGTCTCCGATCAAGTTCCTGTGTTTAGTGAGTCACTGGCTGCCGGTATCTGCCTGCACGCGTTTGCCTGTGTCTCTTGAGAGGGAAACTGAATTGCCTTTGCCCACTACAGAACTACGCCAAATTAGCTCTATTCTGTCAAAAGCTGAGTGCATGTGTGAACTGCTGCCACCGTTCAGCCGATATGCAGTAACTCAATCACAGTAACTTGATTGTGTGTCTGGACTCTTAGCTCTAGCTGCTTTTTGGGTTTTTTTGAAGGCAGAACTTATGAAAGAGACTCCTGAGACTTACTTTATTCTGCTCCAATGTGCCTTTGCCGTATCCTTTAGGCTAATCAGAGAGTGCCCTGGTGCCACATCACTGCAGCTTACGATCATGTGCATAAAGCCTCTTCCGAGCAAGACAATTAAAGATATATTCGACATTTGTCAGTCTTGCCTATTTCTGTGGCCCCAGAACGATCTGTCAATCACCCCCTTAAATGAAGGCATCATGCAGGCAGCTGGTTTGCGTGGGGTAGGGGAGGGAGGGCAAGGATAAACACCTTTGCATCCAGGCTGATGGATCTGCCTGCCAGCACGCAGCCTCAGGCGGCTGGAGTTGGTCCAATTACACAACTCCCCAGTGATTTTTCCTTCAGTGGTACTAATGACAGTCCCTGGTGTGTAGTACTCTTGTATGCTGCTATTATAATAATGATACCTCCTTACCAAAATCTCATGTAATTAACACACATACTAAATGAGTTTTGGTGGCTTTGCTTTTTAATTAGAAGCAGAGACCTCTGGTTTTGCGTAATGCAGATGTCTGGGCTTGGGAATACAGCTGCTATTATTCATGCTATATTTGTCTTTTTCTCATACCTAAAAAAACCATCAGTCAGGTTGAAGGGATCATTTTGCTGGTGGTATAGAGGTACACAAGCAGATGCGCTCACAGGCCTCAGGAGCCTAAGGCATAGTTGAAGAAAAACATTTTCTCTTGCTCTAACTGGTCACAGTCCCCTTGGCTTAACCCAGTTTCATTTTTATCCCTCTAGAAAATTTGGATTTAATACAGATACCCCAAGTAAATAGCAAACGAAAGGAAGACATGTAAAGGCAGGGATAACAATCATGAGATTATGTAGTTTGATGGCCTCCAGAATACAGGCTAGAGTGCCAGTCTTGATAATGTTTATTTTTTTAGTTTTTCCCCGTTCTTTTATTTGCATATAAACCTCATTTAAATTGGTGCATAGTTCATTTTGAACTTCTGTAGCTTTCAGTTATATTTACATGTATATTTATTCTAACTCGCAACAGGTTGTTTCTAAGTGAATGAGCATTGTCCATGATGTGTACTGTCTGAAACAAAAAAACGAGAGATTGATAACGTTTAGAAAGAGGAAAATACAAAGGAAAGAGGAGGCCTGAGGCCAGCTGGCATTTTGCCTTCTCTGCCACATGTGCTGGTACCAGCTTAGATGACATTATTTTCCTTTTGTAAGTGGAGATTTACATCCCACACTTATGGCCAGCATATGTAAAGGGAAGTACAGGACCCACAGATCAGTTGTCCTCTCCTGTCTTAGCTTTGTTTGATCTCTCCAAGCAAGCAGATGCGGAGCTGGTCTCTGAGCTGAGGCCCATGCTGTATGTAATGGAGAGACACAGCTGTTCCCTGCACCTTTCCGGCAGATGATCCTAATGGTTCCCACAGGCTTGTGGGCAGCCAGCAACATGAAAAACCAGGAAAACAGCTCTCAAGGGACACTTGTGTGCAGGCATTTCTACAATTAAACTTCCCTGGAGCTAGGTTATAAAAGGAAAATGGAGGGGTTCCCTCCTCATGCAGCTATAGGGTAGTCCCTTTATTGCTGATGTAAATAAATAGTAAATAAATAGTTATCGGTTTAGCCAATGTAAATGTTGGCTTTCTTGGATCTGTCTTTTAATAGTGTGTAGGGTGGTTGTGGTTTTGTTTTGTTTCAAGGCAGTTGGATTTGTTTCCTTTGTAATTCTCTGTTTTGTTAACAATGCTGTAGCTGGACAGGACATAAAAAGTAAATCTTTTGTGTGTTGTTCCGTGGTTTCATAGCAGCCTGCACAGACTGCGATATCCCTCCCTCTGTTCCCCGTCATGCAATAGGCATTTCAGACTGGATTCTTAAAGGTACTTTCTGATTTTGAGCAGACCAAATTCTGAAAGACAAATCTGAGATCATTAGAACCTGGCTTTCAAGGGCGCTCAGTGCAAGTGGCTCCTTTAGCAGCAATGCCAACCAACTTCATAGGATTTTGTCAGAATGTTAATGCTTTTGCAGCATTCCCTTAAGGGGTATAAAACCACCTGGAGACAGGGCACATTGCTGTCTGGGTGCCATACCTCCTTGTTGACCACCAGTAGTGTTGACCAGCATGTTGTTTCCCTTTTTTAGCTCCTCAAAGGCCATGGAGTTATTTTTCCAGGTCGCCCTTCCAGCTACCAGGAAAATGGGGGCATTCTGTGTGTTCCGGGGTAGGAATCCTCTTTGCGACAGCGCTCCCCAGCTGTGGGTATTTCTGCAGAAGTCACGGGCTGTGCAGCACCTCTTCTTTCAGGAGTTTTGTGCTGTCCTGGCAGGCACAACAAGGGGCAAGAGCCCATCCAGTATATGCCAGGCATTCTCTGGTTTCTGGGAGACTTAAAGGAAAAGGCAATTTCTTGCTCTTCTCCGTAGTACTGATGTAGCACGAGGTTTCGTTTTCACCAGATTGCAGTGCTCTCTGGCAGCCAGCAAACCCCAGCGACAGTAGCCTCCTTGCAGACCTACCCTAAATGGGCTATAACAAACCATTCGGTAATGAATTATTCTTTTCTCTAATAATGTTACTGTTGTGACTTTTGAGATTTTCCTAGCCCGAAAGGAACTTCTCCAGCAACCTCTGGGCAGGTCAGGCTTGTAAAGAAGCCTCAGAAACGCCAATTTTCAAGCTTGCGCAGAACCTGCTCACGCCAGAAGTGCCTGTTCATTTATCGTAGCTTTTAAGACCTTGATCAGGATGCTACTATACAAATATAGGGTAAAAGGTGGTTCCTGCACTGTGTGGCTGAAAAATGTCACTCCACTGCCCTGAGAGATGAGTTTTCTTAAATAAGAGATGATTTTTTCAAAAGCAGTAAACCAGACTCCAGAAAATACGAAAGCGTTGTGCAGATTTGCTAAAGATTGCCGCTTTATTCACCACGTGTGAAAGATGCCCTCCTGCCTTTGGATGCCCCAGGCATAACCAAAAGAGAAGTATTGCTCTGCATGTGCCGGTGCATCCACGAGCAGGTGAGAACACTTGTGTGTTGGTAAGGAGGGAGCGTGTCAGGGTGGTAATCTCCTCTCCTTTGTTCTCTCCAGTGCTACAACTGTGAAGAGGAGGCCATGTACCACTGCTGCTGGAACACTTCCTACTGCTCCATCAAGTGTCAGCAGGAGCACTGGCATGCTGAACACAAACGTACCTGCCGCAGAAAAAGATGAAAGAGTTATTCCTCCCCTAGAAAACCACCCCGATGATTGCTATTCTCAGACACAGCGGTTTTTGTTTCCAAGAAGCCAAAATTGTTTAGAATTTGCTTCCCATTTTGCACCAGCCTTTAAACACTTTTCGTAAAAGAAATTTTGCACAGTAATTTCAATCTTCTGTTTAATGCTCCTCCAAAATTTTGTCAGCGAAATGAATTTAACATCTGTGGGAGCAGGTTACTTTAAATAATTTTAAACTAGAGGATTTGTTGCATTTTCAGCAAATTTTAAAACATTTTTAGGTTTTACAGAGATTTTAATCTTTAAAAACAGCAGATCTAAAAAAAAAAACATGCAAGTTTAACAAAAGGAACATTTAAAAACTAGATCTGAATGTAAGAAGTATAGAACTGTTTCAGAAAAACGAAGCATACTACCTTGATGTAACATTTATTTCTTAACCTTGTTGAGCTGGTTTTGTTCAGCTTAATTTTACTGTTTAAAGGCATTATCTATTGGTTATACCAGTGGGTACATGATTGAATTTAGGGAACAGGGTTGACACAGCAGGTGCTAGTCCTGCGTATTTTTTCTTAAATATTTCCCAACTGTGTTTTATTTTCATTATTTCTTTTCAATATATAACTTTTATAACAAAATATTAGCTTTGATCTTGTAGTTTAAAATCACAGGGAACTGGGGTAATCTTTTACTGAGCTGGATCTTAGAGAAAAATGAATATTTAAATTTTGAAGTTTGCACATTTCATCTTTGTCCTAACATGAGTGCTTGTAACAAGAATAAGAAAAGCCAAAAAAACAAACAAAAAAACCCAACTACCTTTATTCATACATGGAATTATGAGGCATACAAATTTCTTTATTGTGCCCCCCTTCAGCCTCCTCAATCCAACGTCATTTGACTGCCTATGATCTGGTGTCACCTGGTCCATTGTAACTTGATAACAAAAGGAAAAAAGCACTTAAGTTTCACAGAAGCCGTTATGTTTGTAGTAATGGGTCATTGCCTAATAATGAGCTCCATCACTGTACTCAGAATGAAGAATAATGCATGTTAATTTTCTTGTATTAAAGATGCCGTGATTTGTAAAAAGTCTGTATTTTGCGGAATGTCTGGATTAAGAAGCATTACCAATAGGAATGGATCGATAGTTGAAAAATGATTTTCTTTTTGTTTGTTTTATATATAGATATATGAATTGCATCCATGTTCAGAGACAATTTTTTAAATAGATGTAAAACTTACTTAAATAGCTTTTCTTTTTAAAGTGTCTCCGCATTTTAGTTTCTTTCAAAGATTGGTCTTAGACTGAGTCATATGCCCATTAATCATCCAGCTATTTTTTGAGAAGTTAGAGGAATAATTTGTACATATTTATTTAGATCTTTGATATTTATTGAAAGCAATTACATGATGGAACGATGGAAGCTGAAGAATCAGGAGGAAAGCCTTTAAAAAAGTTTTCTCTAGGATTTGTCAGGGTCATTGTAAAGATGAAAATATAACTAAGACTTCTGTGAACTACCACTGAAATCCTGATCTTTTTTACTTACAGTGGTGATATAAGTTAATTGACTAGATACTGCCAAATAATGCCCAATACGTTGCAGAAATTAAGTGGTAAGTTGATTGGAAAAATGAGTAAGTAGATGGTAACTTGAATTACCACAGCTACATTATTGCCTGATAAATGTGTAATTAACTTTTGTCGCCTCTGTGTTGTGACTGTAAAACACTTCACAACTAAAAATCAATCTTGTTCGATTACTTTACAAGTTCCAAAACTTCGATCCACCCCTATGAAAGCAAGTTATTGTGGAAATATTTTTGGTGTAAAATCATTCCAGAATATGTAATATTTAACTGATAGCTGCATGAAAGTAAGATTCGTGTTACTTTGGCTTTTTTGTCTCTGTTGACACGGTTGCACATTTCCAAGTTACTACAGCGTGAAAACTGTGTGTTTTAAAGAAAAAAAAAAAAACAAAAAAAAAAAAAGATTGTGGCCTGGTTTTGTATAAGTTTTAGGTAAAATTACAATTGATTGTTTTAGGAATCATGATTTAAAATTAATTTTTCTGCAAATCATAAAGCTATATTAAAGTGTTAAGCTTAGCCACTATGCACATTGTAATTATTCATTGTGGCTGTCCAGTTTATGATGCATTCTGGCATTTTGTAAGCTGCTCTGACTAGCAATATATAGAGTCATTTAATGTGTTAACATTGGTTAATAAATGTATTTAAAAAAACCACCCTCACTGGCAGTGTCTGTGTTGATTTTGGCCAGTTGGCCGCGCGTCCTTGGGCGGGCACGCACGAGGCTGCTATTTTTACTTGTCCTCACCTAGAAAGACCGGGGCTGCGGGTGGGGGAGCAGTGCCGCAGCTCGCCAGGACCTCGCTCCTGACCGGAGGGGAGCTGGCAGGGCCGTGCGAGAGCTCGAGCATGTACCATGGCTCTTCTTTGCCCCGAAAGCGAACCTTTTCCGCCCGTTCGGGGCCAGCAGCCTCCGAGGGTTGCGTCCGTCGTGTTCTGGTTTTAACGCGGGGGGTGCGCTGCCGGCAGCAAAAAAAAAACTCTGCCTGGAGCAGGGCGTGGCCTCGCCCGCCCCTTCTCCCTCTGCTTCCTCTGACCGGTGCCCCGCTCTGCCTCCTCCCTAACCCAGTCAGCAGCCCTGCGCCTGCGCCCCTTCCCCGCTTCATTAATAACGTCTTTTTATCCGGAGGGACTGAGGGGTCTCTTTGAGTCCAGCGCCAGCCTGAACGGCGGCAGCGTTCCTCTCACAAGCGCAGCCCGGGGAAGTGGCCTCTCTCACTTATTTCCGAGTCGGGGCTTGCTGCCGGCGAGGTGCCCCAGGGAGCCAAGGGCCGTGCTGGTGCTGCTGCCCGTGGGGCATGTCCCACCGCCACCCCCAAGAGAAAGGGCCATTTGGGGACGAGCCACAGGCAGGGCGGGTTGTCCTGGAGCCCCATCGTGACTTCAGGGCTGCAGGAGGGACACTGTGGGAATTGGTTTCTCTGTGGCAATTAAGAATTTCCCTGTGGGAATGAAGACCTGGCAAGGTCTGCTAGTCCCGGGCCGGGGCGGGGGGGAATAAATTAATTATTTCAAGATCCCTCAAAAGTGTCTTACTATTTTACTATCCAAACTTCTCTGTTCTTACATGGGTTACAGCATTTTACCCAAGAGCGCAAATTTTGTTCATTCACCTTGATGAAACTTGATGAAATGGAACTGACGGGCGTAGCGCACGTACTGCAAACGCATCATTTACGTGATGTAAATCCATGGCCGAATCCAGCCGGCGAAGCAGGATCGGGTAGAAGCAGCGTCCCCGCGAGCTCCTTTTCCCAGCCCTTCTCCCCTTCCGACGACTGCGGTCCACCTCCCAGCACAGCACCGCTCCCCCGCACCCCGCTGGCAGAAGCCGCCGGTGGAAACGCCCCCCACTCCCCTCCCCACCCACATTTGCCGGTTCAGGTGTCACCGGTGGGGCCGGTATCGGAGCCAAAGAGGTTAAATGCTTTGGCGGTGCCAC